CAAATAAAAAAAAAAAAAAATTAAAAAAAAAAAAAAAAAATATGTGCATATTATGGAGATCTGTACAAGAGATAACAGCTAGTTCGCCTTCACTTCGTTCAGTGGATGGAACGGTGCAGTCCTACTACTGTATGAGTTTATGATCGCACCTACCTGATGTCTGGGTCCCCAGATGCGAATAGTCCATTTAGGAGAGAGACACAGTTTTGCCAGTTAGATTTTCCAAGTGAAAGCGTAAACAAGGCATTCAGACACAAAGGAGACACTATTACACACAGTCACATGCACACGAATACACTTCCACACATATGCGCACGCACACACAGACACATGCCGACACACACACACACACACACGCACACAGACACACACCTGCACGTCCTTGGCCTTCGCGGATGGTGTTCCAGTAGAGGAACGCAACCACGAACGTGACCTGAGCAGCCGCATATGTTGACGGCATTGAGTTGGGAGTGAGTGAAACCAAAAAAGCAAAAAAAAAAAAAAAAAGCGTTGGTGTGCACCGTTGGAATGAGGGCGAGCACCAAGCAATATTGCACGCACACACGTGCACACACGTGCACACACGTGCACACACGTGCACACACGTGCACACACGTACACGTGCACCCCTGCAGACGCGTTCACGTTCACATTCGCACAGGCACGAGCATGTGTACAAAACCGCACACCCACAGACATGCACACGCGCATGCCCACACACCTGGAGAAGAAAGTCGAAGAGGATACCGAGGAGTGTGTATGTGCAAAAGAGGGAGATGGATGGGAGGCGGGTCAAGTTGCCGGCGCCAAACGCGACAATGTCTGTGATGCTGGTGATGGTGATGCTCACACCGCCCCTACAACGCAGCACGCCAAGCGATGCCACACAATACAGGGGTATTGAGTGGTTGAGAGCTGCAAGCAAGTGCTCGTACACACAAATCCTAATTGGCGTACAGACACAGACACAGAAACAGACATACACAGACTGACACTCACAGACACACACACACACACACACACACACACACACACACACCTTGCAAGTGCGCGAGCGACGCGTTCCTTGGCGGAGAGCGAGCGCTTGACATCGCGATGTGCACCCATGATCACAAACGTGTCGTCCCACACCGAGGCCAAGCTGTAGTCCACGGGTGCAGCAGCAAGACGCGAACACGGCGGTGGTGGTAGCAGTGATTGGGGTGAATTTCGTTGAATACACACGCACGCAGGCAGATGGACAGACACACAGACACGACACAGAGAGAGACACAGACACGACACAGAGAGAGACACAGACACGACACAGAGAGACACACAGACACAACACAGACAGACACATCCACACATGCACACGTGCGCACAGAGAAGTGCATCAACGTACGAGGAGAAAGAAGCTGCCCTGCACAACGAGGGAGTACTTGAGTCCAATGAGGAGCCCAAACCCCCACATGCCGACGATGGACAGGCCAATGGAGGCGAGAGACACCATGGCCATACTGGCGTAGCTGTACACGGGATGCCGTCGCCACAGCACAAACGAGGCGTATGCAATCAGCAGCATGTACCCAAACTGACAACGGTGGAGGAGGAAGAGGTGGGTTTGCATTGGTGGCAGTGGAGTGCAGGGGTGTATCAAGTGGGCCGTGTGAGA